TCTAGTCATGGTCTAGTCCGAGTTTGGTTTTAGTTTAGTCCTGGTTTAGTCCGGGTTTAGTTCTAGTTTAGTCCTGGTCTAGTAATGGTCTAGTCCTGGTATAGTCGTAGTCTAGTTCTGGTTTAGTCCTGGTTTAGTTCCTGGTTTAGTCCTGATATAGTCCTGGTTTAGTCCTTATCTAGTCCTGATGTAGTCCTGGTCTACTCCTGGTTTAGTCCTGGTCCAGTCTTGGTTTAGTCCTGGTCTAGTCCTGATTTAGTTCTAGTTTAATCCTGATCTAGTCCTGGTTTATTTCTGGTTTAGTCCTGGTTTAGTTCTAGTTTAATCCTGGTCTAGTCCCGGTTTAGTTCTAGTTTAGTCCTGACCTAGTCCTGGTTTATTTCTGGTTTAGTTCTAATCTAGTCATGGTTTAGTCCTGGTTGAGTTCTGGTTTAGTCCTGATGCAGATCTGGTTTATTTCTGGTCTAGCCGTGGTTTAGTCCTGGTCTAGTCCTATTCTAGTCCTGGTTTAGTCCCGGTCTAGTCCTGGTTCCAGTCCTGGTCTAGTCCTGGTTTAGTCCTGATCTAGTCCTGATCTAGTCCTGGTCTAGTCCTGGTCCTGTCCCGGTCTAGTCCCAGTTCTCACATGGCGTTTGTGTAATTGTGCCTTAGTCAATATAATGTCCCCAACAAAGCACGGAAACCCAACATGTGTGTGTATATGTGTGTGCGTATGGAGGGGGGAGTATTATGGGATGTCGTCTGGTGGGGGAGGGGCAGAATAAAGATGGGGTAATAAGGATCAGAGGTGGGGGTAGAGACTGGACCAGGTCTGGATTTTGGTGACAAGGTTTTGGGGGTAAAGTCAGGTTGGTTAGATACTGAAATTTATGCAACCAGTGCGCTGTGAGTCGTAAAGGACGCTTCTTCCACTAGAATATAAAAAGTGAACACGTACTAGAGCTGGATTTCTATGTTAAGAATTTATTACTGTTTTTTTTTTTTGTTTGTTTGTTTTTAAAGCCAGATGGCCTTCCAAATCGATCTATGCATTCAGTGTGGTATAAATTCTATACTAAGACATGGTACTACTGTTAATGAAATCACAAAATGACAATACAAGACAAATGACTTCTTCTATTTATCCTTCCTAATATAAAAGTACTATAATTTACTTTCTATTGTAAAGACCGCTTAGTGCAATGATGAAACAGTAAGCATGAAGTGTAAACCATGTACTTTATCCTATTGCTCAATCAAAAGTTCCAAAGTCCAATTCCAATTTTAGATTATGTCTGAAGTAATATTTCTACGACTAGTAGTAGTACCATTAGAATAGTGGTAGTATTAGTAGCTGTAATACCTCGGGTTTAGTAGTTTAAGACTGTTTTACACTATGGCATGTTTTATTGTCTTGAATTATTTACAAAAAGCAATAAAAACAGATTTGCATAATTACTTGCGTCATATGCGACAATGTTATGACCATCAGGGTTTTATATACAGGAAGTTCCATATAAATACTATACTATATTGAGGTCAAACTTCATAACAGTTACACCCTAATTAGCCTTTTAGTCTAATTAGTCTAATTAGTCTTTTTCTTCCCACATGCTACAGAAATGAACAATAAAATGTATGTATAGTGGATATGATGAAGAAGGGAATGAGTAATATTTTCATTGCACTAAGCCAGACATGTCAAACTCAGGCCCGGGGGCCAAATTTGGCCCATAATATAATTATATTTGGCCCGCAAGATTATATCAAATATGTATTAGAGCTGTCTGCCGGCTACAGAGTTATTATTTTATATTATGCTTGATCTGGATTCAATGTTTAAGCAAAATGATTATTAAACATTTACTTAAATAACAAAAGGTTTAATATTACATATCTCGAAAAAAGAGAAAACATGCAGATGTTGCTGAAATTTTTCAATAAATATTTAGTTTGACCCACGATTTGGTGCCAGTTTTTAATTTCGGGCCTCTGTGAATTTGCGTTTAGCACCCCTGCACTAAGCCAAACATTTTAACCTTCAAGCCTCAGTTGATTTTAAAATGGTACTTATCTGTTTTTGCAAATAAACTCTTAAAATTCTTAATTCATAATGAACAAATAGTGTATTAAGAATGACCATGCTTAAAAACAAATTATTTAAGGAGTTAGGAGTCAAAAGATAGAGTTTTAATTAAGAAGTTACAAAACCTGGATCATTCTTAAAACTATTTGTTTATTATGAATGAAGTCTTGTTTCATTATTTTTTATTAAGACTACTAAAGTGTAGTTATAGTGTTAAAGAGTAACTCTATATTATGTTGACCATTCCACTTAGAAACAATGCATGTACCTATTTACTTGGGTTTTACTTTTATTATGGTTTAATTCTAACATCTAAAATCATAATTTATTTATAATGTATTCTTAACTGTGTACTTGCCCCTATATATTAATATAAAAAAAAGATATAAAAAGTTACTGAGCCTGAATCATTCTTACTAAACTCTTTGTTCATTATGAATTAAGTCTTTGTTCATGCTTTATTAAGGGTAATTAAAGAGCTCATGTTACGCTACTTTCTGAAGCTAAGTTATAATGTTTTCTCATTACAAACATACCTGGAGTTGTGTTTTGTTTCATTCACACATGTATTTTTATTTCACTCATACATTAACACACAAATCCTGCATGTTTAGACTGAGTTCTTCTCTCAAAACAGAAAACACTGTTCCAACTTGTGATGTCACGTGGTAATACAAGAAGTGCCACACTGTGTTTTTCAACTCCGTACACCTTCACTAGAATCATTTGGTTGATTTCAATCCTGGAATTTCCCATCTCTAGTAAACATCTCCCATCTCTAGTATCTTGAAATTTACCGCTTCATGACATCACAAGGTGGAACAGAGCATTTTGAGGTTTGGAGATGTCGACAGACTTAAAATAAAGTGTTACTCAAATGTGTGAATGAAACAAAACACAACTCCAGGTATGTTTTTGATGCGCTAACAACATTATAACATGGCTTAAAGTTCACAAGAGTCAGTTTGGTGTAATATAGGACCTTTCAAGTACAGTTAATATGTATTACTTCATATTTTACTGACCATTCCACTTTAGAACCATGGTTATTATTTTACACTGACTTCATTCTTGCATCTAAAATCACACTTTATAATGTATTCTTATTGCTGTCTCCTCCCTCTACATGCTTGCAACATCTGATTAGACTTGAACTTAAGCTCTGAGACAATCCTCTGGGGACAGACTGTACGGGCCTCGCTGCTGTCGCCGCCATTTTGAGTGTTACCTCCTTAAAATAACGCAGTGCACGGTTCCTTAGCCTCGTGCACATGATTATAGCCTCGCACGCCCATCCCCCACTGAGTCTGCCTCTCTCTCTCCCTCTCTCTCACACGCACGCACGCGCACACACACATGCACACACACATGCACACACACACCCAAACTACCCCCCACACCCCACACACCCCACACACACTCACCCCCCTCGCCTCCCCGTTCGAATTCATAGTGCACAAAACAAAGGGCAGACCATAATATTCGCCGTCGCCGCACAGTACGCATGGCAACCGGTTATGTCATAGAGAAATGAGAGGAGACGCGAAGGGGCCTCCGAGTGTCTGGGTCGTAAAATACTGTAAATATATGTGACTCATTCCCACAGACAGTCGCTTCCATTGGTTCTGAGAGTGTGTATGTAAATACACATACAGTACTAGAAATGAATACTACTGTGTACTACTTCTACTATGGAAGTACAAGGTGATTATATGGATTGTGAGCATTCAAATCTAATCTTTTTGCAGTACTTTCCACTACTGCTATACATACTACTACTATAACCAAACCACAAACTACTATTAGTACTGATGCAGACAGACAACAACAACTACGACTACTACTACTACTACTACTATTAAAAGCACAACTTTTAGTAAGCAAAATAAAGAGTCATTCCTTCTGATAGTCAGTTAGGTTCACTTTAGACTATTATACTACTACAACTACTACTGCTACTGCTACTGCTACTGCTACTACCACTACCACTACCACTACCACTACCACTACCACTACTACTACTAATACTATTAAAAGCACAACTCTTTGTAAGCAAAATAAAGAGTAATTCCTTCTGATAGTCAGTTAGGTTCACTTTAGACTACTATGGTAAATGGTCACATTTTTCTATAGCGCTTTTCCACGTTCAAGGCACTCAAAGCGCTTTACAACAAGGAACCACTCACCCATTCACACACACATTCACACACCAGTGTACGCAGACACTGTGGGCAAGGTGGGTTAAGTGTCTTGCCCAAGGACACAACGACAGCATTCATCTGTGGGAGCTGGAATCACACCAGCAACCTGTGGGTCAGTGGATCTGACCACTCAACCTGTGATGAGCTGGATTCGAACCGCCAACCTTCAGATCAGTGGGCAAATGCTCTACCAACTGAGCTACTGCCGACCGTAGTACTGCTACTGCTACTGCTACTGCTACTGCTACTACTACTATTAGTACTATTAAAAGCACAACTTTTGTAAGCAAAATAAGGAGTCATTCCTTCTGATAGTTAGTTAGGTTCACTTTAGACTACTTCTATTACTACTAATACTACTATTACTACTACTACTACTGCTACTACTGCTACTGCTACTTACTACTACTACTACTACTACTACTACTACTACTACTACTACTACTACTGCGATTACTTTCAATTACAACTGCTACAAATACTACTACTACAACAAAACCGATACTTACCACTACTTACCACTACTACTATTAGCATTAACTCAAATACTACTACTACTACTACTACTACTACTACTACTACTACTACTACTACTACTACTACTACTGCTCTAACATAACTGTGCCCCTTTCTAATGTGGTTTTAAACTACAAATGGGAAATACACTGGCTGAACAAGCATCATATAATTTGCAAAAATATGAGCTGTATCGGATTATTTTGGTAAATACTTACTTGTTAAAGACTTGATAGGACTTGAAACTCAAAACACTGGAGTTGGGATTTGACTTGGATTTACCTGAAACAAAACAGAGAGTAATGGAGCGTTCACTAAAACCACATTAAAATCAGGACAGAACTGAGACTAAACCGAGAACTAAACATGAACAAAGCCAGGGCTAAACCAGGACTAGAATAGGACCAAACCCTGTCTACATCGATGTGAAAAGCTCCTATATTACACAGAATAGAAACTTCTGAGCTTTAAGCCATGTTTTAATTCTGTTACTTCATCAAAAACATACCTGGAGTTGTGTTTTGTTTCATTTACATACATTTTTGAGTAACCCTGCATTATTAGTTTGTCTACATCTCTAGTTCCACCTTGTGATGTCATGTAGTGGTAATTTTCACGTTGAAATGATCCAAATGACTCTAGCAAAGGTGTATGAAGCCTAAAAACCCAGTGGGGCACTTCCTGTATTATCACATGACATCACAAGGTGGAACACTGTCTGACTGAGAGAAGAACTCAGCCAAAATATGTATATACGTGTGAATGAAACAAAACACAACTCCAGGTATATTTTAGATAAGGAAACAACATTATTAACAACACACACTATAGGACCTTTTAACAAGAAAAAAAGTATTTCCAGCTAATAATACCACTCAACAGAAGTTCAAGTATTCCGAAATACTTTGACAAAAAGACTGTAGTTAATTAAATATAAAGATGACACGCTCCATTTACAAAATAGCCAGATATAGCACTTCTGTATCCCTCTGCTAATGAATTATTAATGCAAGATTTCTATAGACCTAGGGCTCCATTCACATAGCATCCAAACCTTAACCTAACCTTCACTTAACTCTCTTAGTGTTATTAAGTGTCTTATCTGATAAAACACTCTATCCTGTTAGCATGTGTGGTTAGTTGCCATAATTCAAGTCTTAAATACAAATCAAAACGGATGAATACCTCGTCACTGCTCATATCCTTCCCCTCCTAAAATAGAAACCAATGAGATGGGCAGAGTTACGTCATGATTTTGTGGTTCTGTGCACTTCCTGTTTAGTTTTGAGTGATATAACACAGTTTGGCACTTCTTTGGAACCTCTGGTCTCAAATGGCTCATGGGACAGTTACGATTCTTCTCCTGTAAAAAAATAAAAAATAAAAAAATCACATTAGAAAAATCTTGTGTAAAATATATCCATTGGTTTCAACTTAGTGTTACATGGAGCCATTCTGAGGACAGTTTGCCATGAAAAAATATCATATTTAGTTTAATTTGTTGGTAATTGCTATGGCAACAGCCCTAACTTTTTATCATTTAGAAAACTATGGATATACGAACCAGGAAGCACTAACCAATCAAGGTTCCAATGTGAATTTATTATGTAACTTTCCTGGTGGAGAGCGCATTACCTGCTTGTCTCTATAGATATGTTATTATTTTGCTATTAATGTTCCACAGTACGGCATTAAACTTATCAGTCCTCACCAGGCCATGTTAGAGGTCAAATTTGTGGAGAGGCGCTCCGACCCTGCTCACAGTAAAAACACGTTTTCTAGGTATATTTTCTGAAATTAAAACACCTATAATTGAATAAATGCTGACAGATATGTTTAAATCCATATTGTGGAACATTTCAGGCAAAGCGATACTATGGAGACAAACACATGACTTTCCCTCCACCAGAAAAGTTACACAATGTGCCTTTAAAGTAGTCTACAGCAACATAATCAGTGGAGTTATTGATTTGAAAGTCATGTTTTTAAGCTTCTTGAACACACACAGCTCTTCTTTTAGTGACAAAGATTGAATTTATAGCACTGAAGTATGATTTTTAGTTCTTATTCTGCAAATATAGTCTGTAAAAACGCATGAGTCTGTAATAAATGCACTGTATGTCTATAATTTGTTTATGGTTGTTTTTATTGTCTCACTATGGAAGTATAAGTATTCAATCAAATTTATTCGTAGTACTTTCCCCTAGTGCTGTGACAACCAAACATAAACTACTATTAGTATACACCGGCTACTACTATTACTAGTACTAACCTTACTACTACTATTGCTACTACTGCTACTGCAATTACAACTACTACTTAACAAGTACAGCTGCTACTGCAACAAAACAAAAACTATTACTTTTAGTACTGATTATGCTGCACTTTGAGCTTCTGGCACATGTTTTCCAATGTGTTGTTTTTACTACAATTGTCAAATAAATTACTCTAACTAAAATGGTTGGTGAGTTTTCTTTAAGTAAGCGTGCATAGAGTTTTAATCACGAAACTTTTGATTGTAAGACAAATTCAGCTTTCCACTCTTGCACAGGAGTAGATCAGCCCTGTTACCTCCTGCACCTTTTAACCAGTAGTTCTACAGTAGCTCCTCTCTCACTCATATCTTTGTTTAGTCAGACGAGTGCACGTGGCCGGCCGTGCACGTGAGCCTACACACAAGAACAAGAAAAAAAAAAAAAAAGAAGAAAAAAAAAAAAAAAACCCCGAAGGGTCAGGTTTCTGCTCAATCCCATGATGCATCACTTCTCTTCCTCCTGGCTCCTCCCTCCAGCTGGTCGCCCAGGGCAACGCACTCATAATGAGGTCAGATGGACATCCCATAATACTCCGCCGCAGTGGCACAGAGCCGTGTCAGAGGTGTCAGGGAGAGAGACAAGATGGCCGACACCAAAATGACTTCACAACCTGCAAGAGATGGGGTCAAAAGAGTAAAGTTTATCAATGAGAAATCTGATACTGAGAAGCGCAGGGATTATTATACTCTTCATCTAAACAACAGTAAAGTCATTCTGATTGGGAAAAACAAATAGAAAGAGAAGAGTGAACTTAAGCCTCATAAGTGGAAGTACTTAAACCGCCTATATTACGCTACTATCTGATCTAAGTTATTTTTCTTCACCTAGAGTTGTGTTTTGTTTCTGCATATTTAGGCTATCTCTTAAATAGAAAACACGCTGTTCCACCTTATGTCATGTGGTATAATAGAGGAAGTGCTCCACTGTGTTTTTAAACTCCATACACCTTCACTAGAATACTTTGGATAATTTCAACCCTGGAATTGCCCATCTCTATTGATCTAAAGGTAAAAAGTAGCTGTTCAGATGAAAACTACCACTACATGACATCACAAGGTGGAGAGATCATTTTGAGCTTTGAAGATGTAGAAACTCAAAAACTGTTAAAGGGTTACTCAAACGTGTGTAAATGAAATAAAACACATCTCCAGGTGTGTTTGTGATGAAGTACCAATGTTAAAACATGTCTTAAATCTTGAAACTCCAAAAAATCCCTTTTGTGTAATATAGGACCTTCAAAGTTGCACTATGTAACTTTTCTGGTGGAGGATTAGTCACTGGGAGTATGCATTTTTTCATTTACATGTGTTTTATTGCCAACATACTTTGACAAACATGCACTCTTACTATGGGGGGGTCACTTCTCCACTGATCTGACCTGTGACTTGACCTGGTGGTTTCAGCTGCTTGTCTCTATGGATATATATATATATATATATATGCTGTGGAAAATTACAGGCAAAGCAATAGCACCTCTGCAGAGACAAGCAAGTGACGGATTGTCCACCAGGAAAGTTTCATGGCGCACCTTTAAATTATGTACTCAGACTGAAGTAGAGGTTGTCCAAATTGTTTTAACTAAAGTAAAACAAGAACAAACAATCCCACTGAACTTTTAGCCTTTACACCAAAAGCCACTGGAATTGCTCCCTGTCCGTGTGTAGTTTTTGTTACAGTATAAACTAAAAACACAGATACACGCTGTCTACATCCTGCTCGGAGTAAGTGATATGCAGATTTAACCAATCACAGTGAAGCGTGACCTTAATGAAAACACAACTATAACACTGATTGAGTGTTTAAAAGTGGAAGTTTCACCAAGATGCTCTTTAAACTGAAGATCAGAGTTATTATAAAACAAAAGCAGAGGCACTCAATTTGTTTACAAACCTATCTATAACTATGACCAAATCCAGGCCTTATAGATCCATGATTGACTTGGAGATTGGACAATTTTTCTTTCATCCCACGGCTCTCAATTAGCAGCGGCAACAGCACAGCCTGGCTATCTGCAACCTCTTTCTTTAATCAAAGGGTCACTGTCCCATTTTACTGCATCCATAAATCTTCTCTTTGGTCTTCCCCATCATGGCAGCTCTAACCGCAGCATCCTTCAATAGCTACTCTTCCTCCTCTGTACATGTCCAAGCATCTCAATATCAAAATTGAATCTCAAAAACATTTTAAATAAGCTGTCTTGACATATGTATCTCTGTTCTAGTCTGCTCCTGAGTGTAACTACCTCTGAAATATATTTTACAACAAATTCCACAAATAAAAATCTAATTTTTTTTTTTCTGATAATTAAAAATAAACGTCAAAGTCTTCTATGTGATAACTGTAAATCTCCACATGAGGCAGTGCTGCAGTTATAGTAACGCCGCATGCGCGAGAAGAAGACAGAACATGGCTGCCGACTGTGTTTGTTTACATTTTTAGCATTAGCCACATGCTAACACTGCTACACACAAAAAGAGACATTGTGCTTGTTTAAACCACTTATTCATCATTATTTATTTGTAACATAAAATCGAATACTTATTTGAAGATATTTAAGGCCGTGTAACTGAAATTTCGAAATTATATTGTGTTGTTTTCTTGCCATACTCTGATTTGTTTTGGTTAGCATTAGCCTTTAGCGTGTTCAATTAATCCTTCGATTTGCATATATAAATGGTTTGAACATGTACTTAAACGTCTAATTTAGAAACGTATTTTGTATGAATAAATATATTTACTTTATGTATGTTAGTATGACAGTAATAAGCCACAAATTAAGCTAGGAATCGATCAAAACAGGCGAGTGATCACACCAGTAGAAGGCGTCATTGCACTTGTGGATTTGAACTTGCGCACTGTCAACTTTACGTCCCCAAAAAGAAGACGTGCATCCGCAGAGGAGCAAAACAAACACGAAGAGGCAAAAAAATGGCGCAAAGAGAGCGACTCAGGGCGATGCTGAACGAGCGCCTGGCCTCGACTGGAGACGGCATCTGCGACCTTTTTGAAGGCAAGATCCGAGAGTACGAGAAGGAAGTGAACTTTCTCAATGAGGAGTTCAATTTACGCCAGAAAATGCTGGATGCAGCTATGAAGCAAGGTAAGCATTCTTCACATAATTCAATTAAGACCACTATTCTTTATGGACATTTTTAAGACATTGCATCAAAATACTGCATGCACTGAATCATTAGCGACTTGCCACCATCATGAATTGATTGCATAAAAGTCAAGACAGATTATATGCATGCATACTCACTCATATTTGTACTTGGGAGAAGGAGTTTTAAATTAGAATTATGCCTTTTACTTTGATGCATTATGACTGCTGTCTGAAATCTTGCTGTCTACTATGGCCCCTTTAAAGCGTGGGGCTATTTTCAGATCTATATTTTAATGGTGTTTCCTCGTCAAAAACATGACTGCAGTCGCTTTTCTTTTAAACACATAAATCCTGTAGATTTAGGCTTCTTCTCTCAAACAGAACACGCCACCTTGTGATGTCATGTGGCAATACAGGAAGTACTCCACTGTGTTTTTAAACCTGGTAAATTGTCACATTTTTATAGCTCTTTTTCCACCTTCAAAGCACTCAAAGCGCTTTACAACAAGGAACCACTCACCCATTCATGCACACTTATACACCAGTGTATTCAGACACTGGGGGCGAGGTGGGTTAAGTGTCTTGCCCAAGGACACAACAACAGCATTCATCTGTGGGAGCTGGACTCAAACAACCAACTTATGGGCCAGTGGATCTGACCTCTCAACCAATGATGTTTATGTCAACAGTGGGATTCAAACCGCCAACCTTCAGATCAGTGGACAAACACTCCAAATGAGCTCCTGCCGCCCATTAGACCTTCATTATCTTTTCATTCACTTCAATCATTTGGATAGTTTCAGCCCTGCAATTGGCAATCTCGACAGAAACAAAAGGTAAAAGGTAGCTCTTGAAAACTACTGCTTCATGACATCACAAGGTGGAACAGAGCATTTTGATCTTTGGATTACTCGAACATGTGTGAGTGAAACAAAACACAACTCAAGGTATGTTTTTCTGGAGATAACATTATAAAATGGCTTAAAGCTCACAAGAGTCAATCTTGCATAATATAAGACCTTGAACTTAGTAGGAATGCATTTTTTATTAATAATTTTGGCATTTCACTCCAAAAATGTGGTTCTTCAAATAAGATTTACACATTGGCATTGTCTATCAAGTCTGTGTGATAAAATATTACTGAAATGGTTTGTCACTGTAGAGCACATATCACTTCATATAAATTCACTTATGTTATCAGAATATGTTGAACTTTGTGCTAGTTTTGTTTCATATGGATTAGCCTAGTAATGACATAGACATTAACAATAAACCATGATAAAACATCTGCTTTTTGCAATATGTGTCATGGCAAAATTGACCATAGATTTCCTGCCCTCCAGCTAAATTTAAAACTGTTAAAACCGGCTCTATAGAATGATGTGGCTTGTCAAGTTTAGGGTTGCCAAAAGTATTGAAAATCAGATACTACTCTACACTAAAACTAGTATTGACTATAGACTAGTATACGCCCATGGACCACTATGGAACCTACCTGGACCACTGAGGGATTACACAAATATAATGCCACATGGGAATATTAAAGAAAGTACTACAATTTAATGCTGAAAATAAATGACATTCTGTTGTCTAAAGATTTTTTTTTAAATTATTATTATCATAGTATTTGAATTGGTATTGAGTCTATCCCTTAGTATCAAAATAGTTTTCGAAATTTTTGTATCATAAGTTAACAACACTAGTCGAGTTACTATCCAGTGCTGACCTTTATGTCTTTGTCAACAGGAATGCCGGTGGTGATGTTGTGTGATGAGGACGAAGCAGGACCCAGTGAAAATGCAGCATCTCAAGATTCACCTCAAATTGAACAAGAGACAGACAAACCTAAGCAACAGAAGGACAGCTCTTAAATCAGGACTCAAGTGACCAAAACTGTCACATCATTATATTTTTTTGTCTCCTTCCTGGGACCATGCTTGCATCTCTAAGGATACCAGAATGAGCTCGCCAGTTCAGTTGAGATTGTGATGTTTTAAAAGAGGACTCATTTTTAAAACCTATGATGTAAAACATCTTAAGAAACATAAAGTAATATGTGTCTACCTTCTTGAAAAATACTTTATGCTATATGTCATTTAATGCTGACTCCAATGAACTGGACATAGTTTTTGTTGTATTGTTATAATGATGCAAAAAGCTCTCCTTCCCGGGACCATGCTTTTGGATACCATAATGAGATCACAGATTCAGTTGAATGTATAACGTATACATTCTATCCTTGGTGACTGGAATGGATTCATTTTAAACATCTGTGATCTAGAAGTTGATCTATAAGTGTTGCTAAAGACTTAAATGTTCTTCACAGAATGAAAACAATATTATTTCACATATTATGTGATGTAAAGTTTATAAAGAAATTATTTAGTTTGCCAGGATGAATAAAAAATGCAATTTTTTTTTTAAAAGAGAAGCTCAAAGCTGTTTATAGTAGATCTCAAAAAGGCAGAATAAATCAAGATTTGTTTAATGCTTTATTTAAACACTTTAGTGTGAAGAGATAACAGCTCAAATGTGATTTCACTGCTCTCTGGAAGTTTTGTGATTAAAAAAGAGCTGGGTGAGTTTGTAGTAAATTTAAATGACAGAATAAGGGGAAAATAAGCCCATAATGATCAACAGATCTTGTCGGTCATTGGACTCAATGGACTGGGCCATGAAAACAAAAATAAAAACATGTCACTCGTTCTGTCAGTATGTTTTAAAAGGCAGCTGGTCTAGGCACCAGCAATAATAAAAAAGCTTTGAATTAAAGGTTGAAAATATGTTACTAACTACTATTACTTTGCATTGTGACAAATCCAAATAGGCAGTACACAATCAAACTTTCTGAATACAACACCATGAAAACACTGCAATTTTAAATTTTCAAATTTTGACTTTATTTTTTGACATGTCAGGTCAGTCTACAGTTTAGTTTTAAATTTCACACATGTAAAAGCAGTAAACATTATAATCCCTTTAAACCCCTTTTAGTGCAAATTCATAGTCATACAAGGACATTTAACAAATAATTTACTACAAATGATTTTGCACGACATTTTAGGATACAGTTTCCAAAATGACAGCATTGTACATTTACTTTGGTTTACTCTCATTCTAACACAGAACTAAGTTTAAGGCACATGTAGACTGTTCAAGGTGCACCATGTAACTAGATTGGGTCTGCCATCACTTGTTGCCATGGAAATGTTATTACTTTGTATAAGAATACTACACAGTGTGGCTTTAAGCTGCATAGTGCACCTTTTGGCAGTTATCCAGCCAAGTAATAATCCATGTAAAAAATGCATGTGTGAACATAACAAAATTGAAAAACGTCCTATATAATGTTTTTATCAGGCCTTTTGAACTATATTTCACTTTACACTTTACTGTATAATGGTATATTGTATTTATGGAATTTGGGAACAAGAATTACTGTATTGATTTACAGGCATACAAACATGAGATTACTCAAATGTGTGAGTGAGGCAAAACAGTTAATAAGGGTAGGCAATAATAACAAAATTATATCTGTATATTTTTTGTTTTTTTTTCATCCACATGACAATATTCAGACAATATTATGGCAACCAATCACTAATTGGATGAGTGGATAGTAGGCTACAGTGGTTCTCAAACTGTGGCTCACCAGATTCTTCAATTGACAACTGAACACATTTTTGTCCTCCTTTAGATTACTCCTTGGTTAGAACTAGTGTAGCTTTTGTGTAGTTGGATTAATATAGACTTTTAATAACCCTAATTTAGACCTGATTTAGATTTGGTGGTCTAGGGAAAACCAAATATTTTCTTAGGTGGTACTTGGTATGACAGGTTTGAGAACTACAGTGCTGTACAGAAATTGGCTGAGATTCAAGTACTGCACAACAGATTTTAAGTTTAACCTTTTTTTTGTCTCCAAAACAACAATTATGAAATTATAAATTTTTAAAATATATTTCCACCTCTGTTTATTGTAAAAAAAAATAGATTTACAGACGAAATTATTGTACGTTTTTGGGATGAATGATTTGAATATCCAATTAAGATTTTTTCTGACAAGCATTGTGATTAGATTTGCGATTTATAAAATTTCATCTTTCAGTTATTTTACCAATTCTCCCGGACACGCTAAAAATAAGAACTGACAAACTAATACAAGAATCACATTTCAGAACATGTTAGTACAGATCTAAACTCCAGAGACAGCAGTTTTATAAGCGAAAAGAAAAGATAATTTTTTTTTTTTCTTCTCAGCCCTACTTTAAAAGCCCAATATTTTCTTGTGCTAAAACATTCTTGTACACGTCGTGGTTAAGATTCAATATTGCACAAATGTGAATTGATTTGGACTAAAACACAGAAGTGCAGAATTATCCCTTTAAACCCCTTTTTGAGAGATTACTCTGCTAGTGAATTTGCGATTGACATAAAAAGATGCTTTACTCTAGATGTGTGTACTGTTCTGTGGTTTCACTCTCTCCAGTCCAGCCCCAGAGTCTCTGCGACGAATGAGAAGATGTGTGTGTCCTCCAGAATGGCTTTTGCTGTGGGTTTACCTGCCCCGTGTCCGCTCTGGGTGTCCACTCTCACCATCAGAGGCTGCTTCTGCTGAGGACTGCTGCCCACACCGTACTGCAGGGTGGCGCTATACTTCAGGGTGTGCAGGGGAACCACGCGGTCGTCGTGGTCCGCCGTGAGGAGCAGGACGGCGGGGTACGGGGGGCCGGTGTAAGGGGGTGAGGGGAGATTATGGAGGGGGGAGTATCTGAGGAGAGAGGAGTTAAACTTTAGACAGATTTTAATAAAAAATAAATATCGTTTTAGAATCACTAGTTTTACCACCAGCTTTTCTTGATGATATTGGTTTGCCTAAAATATCCCACAGTATTACTTTTACTTATATTGCATTTATCCAAACACACCTTTTATTGCTCAAAAATATCTGGAAAAAAGTGCATTCCTACTGTGAGTGGGGTGGCCTCTTCACAGATCTAACTTGTAACTGGGCCTGCTGGCATAAATCAGCCAAGTGTGGAAAATTCTAATCAAAGCAATAACCATGGAGATAATCAAGTGGTGTAACCTCTTCCAGAAAAGTTACAAACTGTGCCTTTAACTAAACTTAGACTAGAGCTGGGCAATATTAGCCTGATTCATCAGTCAGGTTTCCACGAAGTGAAACCGGCTGCACTGACTTGTTCCTTGGACAGAGAGGTCATATTTGGTCTGATATGAGCCAGATTTAAAAGATCTAAAAGTCTCTGCCTGGGACACAAACTATGGACTAGGCCTGTCACAGTCAATACATGACGGATGGAATAATAATAATAATAATGATAATAATAATAATATTATTATTAATAATAATAATAATTAGGGGTGTCAAATTATCGCGTTAATTGCGATTAATTAATTACAGTCATATTTAGCGCATTATGTTTTTTAATCGCATTAATCTAATTTTTAATCTCTAACTTTACTGTTTCTGTATGTGAGTTGCTTTATTATAAAACCTGTTTTTATGTGTTGTTGGGACAACAACAACACACACACACACACACACAAAATAAACATTTATACATTTTTTTTATTTCGGTAATTCCACTCATTGCCGGACACCCACACAAAACGCGCGCAGTAAGAGCGATATAAACGTCATGTTAACGTTGGCGGCGTCAGGTCGAAGAGCCAGTAGAACAGAGCAGCAGTGCACAGGTAAAAACACATTCGTGTCTTGGAAATTATTCTCCCGACGTGAAATATAAAAGAAAATAACAAATATAATATCGCCTGAAAACAACCTGCATAGGCTCATGATGTCTGCACTACTGTCCTATAGTGACCTGCCACATGAGGGGACACGCACACAAACACAAACACACACAAACACACACCTTCATCATCGTCATTAACCTGAGAACGCGCGGACCACGTTTCCTTCCGTAGACACTGCGCGAACACCGCTGTCCTCCCGTGAGCCGCGTGTGGACTGTGTTTTCTCACGTACGCTGCGTAAACCGCGCTTCCTCCTGTGCGCCTCTAAACCAGAACTAACACCAAGGCTAAAACCAGGACTAAACCAGGTCTAAACCAGGACTAAACCAGGACTAAACCAGGTCTCAACCAGGACTAAACCAGGACTAAACCAGAACTAAAACCAGAACTAAAACCAGGTCTAAACCAGGACTAAAACCAGAACTAAAACCAGGTCTAAACCAGGACTAAACCAGAACTAAAACCAGAACTATAACCAGAACTAAAACCAGGTCTAAACCAGGACTAAACCAGGACTAATCCAGAACTAAAACCAGGATTAATCCATTCCAGGACTAAACTAGGACTAAACTAGGACTAAAGCAGGTCTAAACCAGGACTAAACCAGGACTAAACCAGAACTAAAACCAGAACTAAAACCAGGTCTAAACCAGGACTAAACCAGGACTAAACCAGGACTAAACCAGAACTAAAACCAGGTCTAAACCAGGACTAAACCAGGACTAAACCAGAACTAACACCAGGACTAAAACCAGGATTAATCCATTCCAGGACTAAACTAGGACTAAAGTAGGACTAAAGCAGGTCTAATCCAGGACTAAAACCAGTGATCTCATATATAAAGTATTTCTCTATCAATAATATTTTTAATATGGTTAAGGAAAGATCTTTTTATTGTCTTTAAGTAGACAAAAGTTATTATGTTCAGATTTCCTCGTCTTTGCTACTTTACAGCAAACAGTTTCTTATTCATGGAGACTTGGGCTCAACAGCCAAATTGGAGAGATTTGTTAAACAATAAATGACTTTATAAAGTCACTTTTTTAAATCTATATCAGTCTTTTGATCTGCCACAATCATGTAATAATGAATTTAAATGAAAATACCTCAAATTGAAGGCTTTTCTCAGCAATTTTTAGGTGAGATTAAAATTTAATTTTAATTAGATTAATTAATTACAGATCATAATTAATTAATCTCTCATTTTTTTTAATCGCATGACAGCACTAATAATAATAATAATAATAAATATATTTTTCTGTAATAGTGAGCAACTGTTTATCTTTTGACAATGACATTTGAGCTGTAGAGGGTTGAATAAATAATTTCAATGTCTCATTATAAATTTAAACTACTCCTACTACTAATGTGCTGTTAATTAATGTATTTGTGTGTTTTTTGTTTTTTTTAACCGTATTGTGTATTTAGAATCTTTTTTAACTCTTTCCCCCCTGGACGCCTACTAGGAACATCCCATACATATGTTACTAAGGCTACACCCATAGAGCATAATTGCATAAAAGAAAACAGACTTCCACGAGTGATTATAAATGATTTTTACACTCATGAACTTAATTGTAACACAGACATATTTGTATCTCTGGAAACCTTAGACTCTGAACTATTCATTTATGGATGTTTAAATGTGATTCAACTCATTTATAGGTGTATAACAGCTCACTGAAAATGAGAGTTTACCTGGTCAGGTGCAAGCTCGAAAACAAAAAACTACATTCAGCATCTGATATCTGCATGTTCTGAGTACTATATTCATAAAAAAAAAAAATATATACTTTGTCAAAGTATTTAAACAGATTTCATATCACCAGATACAGTATAGCCAAGTGTACACCTGTTTTTACCTGTTGTACACCTGTGTGCACCCAATTAATTTTTTTTCCATTTAACTTATTCAACTCATTTAGCTTATTCAACTTATTTTATTTATTCAACTCATTTAGCTTATTCAACTAATTTAGCTTATTATAATATAATAATATAATAATAAAACTTTTCCCCATCAGTGTGTGTCCAGTATTTGTCATCTTGGCTATTTTCTCGTGCGCAGAGCTCCGCATAAGCGTTTTTTCTGTAGCGATTCTGTTATACATCGCATCTTGGAAAAAAAGACTGAAATATTTTAAAGGACTAGCCTGGGCAACATCCAGATTTTAGGGCAATTTTGGTTCATAATCGAGTATAAAGCTAAGATAGTTTGTTCGGATATCGCAGGACTCCACACAGACGCATCAGCGGCATTCTCATCTTCTCCCCGAAAGTCTGTCGCTGTCGCTGTTTTCCACTTTATAATCAACTTCAACATCATCACTTTGAAATCTATAAAAGTCACTTTCTCTAAACTTATCCATAAAATACGTCCGCTCCTCATTATTTCTAAAACTGTGCGCCGCAGCGCCGCGATCTTTCCATTGCACGTGTTTCATGTTGTGTTTTTTCCGGAAGCTACCATCGTCACTATTTCGATTAACTTCGGAAAAAATCCGCGAAAACATATCCTTGAATCCTATTGGTCAGTCTAGTGTGGGTTGTAGTGGCCCCCACCTATCACAGTCTCTGTTTAAATGTGAAAAACCGAGCCATTTCTAAAGGTCGTCAAATCTCGTCTTTAGTGATACGGCGGAGGTGTCAAAAGTCGTCATTAAGGGTTCAAGGGGGGTCGTCAAATGTCGTCTTCATGGGGGAAAGAGTTAAGGGAGATAATACTGGGTTTTCAGTGGCAAAAAAGTTGTTTCAGTATTATTTTTAATGTCTAGATTTTCTTCAGAAATATATCGTCTTTCAAAATGTGTTATCGCGACTGGCCTACCATGGACTCTTTGGTTTTAAAGCATGAGTTTGAGCCATGCAGCCACAAAATACAGCGCTCAACAATGCGTGGTACACCTGCACTGTTCTTCCCAAACATTCAGTATATTTTAGAGTGCCTGTGTCATACTTGATGAGCCACTGAAACTGCTGAGGATCGTCAGAGCAGCCGTAGTCTGTGGTCCAGGCATGTCCGATGGTGAAACGGTGAAACTTTAACATGTCCATGACCCCCACCTCCGCCACCGCACAGCCAAACAGGTCAGGCCGCTGGTTCACACATGCACCTGAAAGAAAAAGTATGTCATTCTGACTCAATATATGACTAAATTATGACTAAAGGTGCACTGCGTAACTTTTCTGGTGGAGGTGGAAGTTAATGCTTTGCCTGAAATGTTTCAACAATATTGCATTACACTTATTCCTCTCCACGGAGACAAGCAGATAAATAAAAATAACTAACTGGAAGATAGAGAAGTGTTATTATGATACTGTGGAATATACCAGGCAAGCACTAACATCTCCAAGGAGACAAACAGGTGGCAGACCCCCACCATCAAAGTTACATAGTGTTACTTTAAAATATAGGAGCCTGTAAGACTTGCATCAGGTAGAAATGATGTGCTCAACTATATTTCATGTCCTTGTAAAACATTACGAACATAACAAACAAGAGGTTAAGGTACATTTCAGTTTTAGACCAAGTTTTAAATCTGGCACACGTGAGAAACACATTTACGGAATTAAATGTGTTCAAATATGTTCAAATCAAGGACTGAGCCAGGTCTGATCCAGGACTAAAGACCAAACCTGGAGTCAAATTGAGGATTAGCACTTAAACCTAACTCAAAATAACTCACCCACAAGCAGTCCTCCGTTGGATCCTCCGTTGATGGCGATTTTACTGGAGGAGGTGTATTTCTCCTGGATCAGAAACTCGGCTGCGCTCTGGAAGTCATCGAAACAGTTCTGTTTGTTCCCCAAAGTCCCAGCTACAACAGAGAAAAGAAGAGAGAGAAAACTTGTAAAAGATTTTGTGAAATCAATCTGATAATTCTTAGGATCAGCCAAATGTAATAAATATAAAAGTCAGAGGGATTAGGTTTCTGGTGTAAAAACAAAATGCCCGTTAAGCACCCAACAGTTTGCAAATACTTTTACCTTTGTACCAGGTGAGTCCGTACTCTCCTCCTCCTCTGATGTTCGCCACAGCCAAGACTCCGCCCAAGTGTTGCACAAACAGCAAGTACGCTACACTGGAGCAAAATATACAAATGATTACAAATTATACATATTTATATATACAGCTTTTTAACTGAAGAAATATTGAGAATGTGAAGATAAAAACAGTTACAACAGCAGCAAGTAAGAAATTTAAAATGTTGTGAATTAAGGTGCTTTTTTACACATTTCAGAACTAGAATAACTTAATCCACAATGTAGAGATATCAAGTTAAAACAAAAATGAAACACTTTAAAAATAATATACAATAAATGTGTAATTGGTGATGATACGATAATGTTAATACTATTTTGGACATTCATTCAATTTTCAAGTCCCCCCTAGGGCCCTCCAATGTACTTCCAGAGGAGAATCAAGGCCTTAACAGTTCATTCAAATACTCATTAGACTCATCCACAGCACTCACTTATAGTACGGCTGTATTGAGGCCTCAAACCCTCCATATCCATACAGGAAAACCGGATTAGACCCATCCTTCTTCAGATCTTTGGCATGAACCAGGAACATGGGGATCTTGGTGCCATCTTTACTCGGGTAGAAAACCTGGAAAAGTTTAAGAATAATAAGCTGTGTTTTTTTTTATTGTTATCAAATAATCAAGTCCTAGCCCTGGCTCCAAGACAGAACTCCCAAAACAATAATCACTTGGTTTTGGAAAAGCCAAAAAAACAAAAAAAAAAGTATAAATACTGGCTATGTTAAAATTCCCTTAATTATGCAAAAAAGCAGCACAAATAATGTGACAAAATCAAAAATGAAAGATAAAATGTGAATTATTTTAAATTTCACTTTGTTACTTTGTTTACAGCATACAACAGCTACTCTAATATCTTACTGATTAACTCACTGTTATCAGATATTTACTGTAAATGTGTCCACATTTACTACTTTTAGCAGTGCACTTCCTTATACCTGTGTAGTTTGGTAGTCCTCCTGTTTGAATCCTTTCACTTCCACTTTTCTGAAAACTTTGGGCTCTGGGTTTGGAGAGCTCAGGTCACAGTGGTAAATGATTCCTGGACAAAGAGAGACGATAAATATGCATTATACCATTTTTAAGTATTTTATGATATATCTTCTCATTCAAAGGACTTTTTCTTCTTTATTTTTACTACCTTCTACATTTTTCTTTCTGCTTTCTACATCAAATATATGAAGTAAGATATATGGAATAATGTAGTAAAGAAAAAAGTTAAATGACACTACTATTTGTTTTTAAAATATTTTATATTCAAATCCTCAAAGTACCCTTTGCTTGTCAAAACAAAGTGTTATTTAACATTATTCTTTACTACATATTTGTATACATCTTGCGTCATATATTTTATGTCTTTTGTGTATATAACAATATAAATAAAGAAAATAAAACACTGAATGAGAGGGTGGGCCTCAACTTTTGATTGGTAGTGTATGCAAACAATACATAAAACACGAAGTGAAATATTGTAACTGAAAAGTTGGGAAAGGGCACTCCACATATTCCTATACAAACCTTTATCACATTACTAAACAATGACATTTTTGTACTATTCTGATTCACTTTTTCCCACTATTTCTGCAATGCATGTATTTCTTAATTAAAAGAAACATGGATTTTCTTGTGTGTAGCGGGGTTGTTACACTAAAATGATTAGGTTGTGAGCTTGATTTCTTCATTATATTTAATGAAGCTCAGACCTGGAGTGGTGTAGGAGGTGAACTTGTAGAAGACTTCAGAATATTTCTTTTTCCCGCTCACTCCGGACACCATTCCCACATCCAGAGGTAGATCCCGAATAAACGCTCCGGTCTTCAGCTCAAACACCTGCAGGATGTCCTTCACGTCATGGAGGTATGTGGCCAGCAGGTGGTGCTCATTCACACAAGTCACAAAGCCTAGAGGGCACAAAGTAAAAGGCATTAGACAGACAAGAGAACAAGGGCTTCACAATATACTGTATAGGAAAAATACTGATGTGGCAAAAATCGGCTGGTGCATTTTACAGAAATACATTTTTGGACAGTAAAACTGACAAAAAAGGCAGATTGTGTTCATGATTTCCCTTATTAGGTCCTACATTAGACTTGGGTTGGTCTTGATTTAATATCTAGTTTAGTGTTACATACATACACGTTATTTTACCAAATAAATAAAGGCATGTACATTTAACATTTTTTATTAAACTTATTATGCCGAAACAGTATATTAAAATATCATAATAATATTGTTAGCCCAATAGAAAACATATTAATGGATTTGTTCATATTTTTCCTCAAATTGTGCAGCCCTATATAGAACAAATGTGTAGTACTTAAAACATTCACAAATGTTACAACAGCAACAACAACAAAAAAAAGCCTATTTCTGAGACATACTGGGCAAAAATGTACAGTAGTTGTTGCGTGTTTAAACCAGCAGGGGGCAGTTGCACACTATATTGCAGGACTTCTACAAATAATAGCGAAGCAAAGAAGGGCAAGACATGGCATATGTACAAAAACTATTGTACTCACAATATAAAAATACACAGATGAAACACATGAAAATAATTTTGAGACACTTAAGTCTGTTGTGAGTGTTGTTGTTGTTCTGAATGTTGTAAAGGGCTCTATAAATAAAGACTGATTGATTATTACGACCACATGCAGGAATGTCTTCATTATATTTAATTAACATTACTTACATGACATATCACTCTCTGGCTCATACAAGTGATTCATGTTTATAAGCAGATAAGCAACATAAGCAGAGAATTCTCCTTGGAGATAGATATGCAATACTGTGGAATATTATAGCCAAAGGAACAACATTTCCATAGAAACCAAATAAAAAATAAAAGTCAAATAAATGTGAATCAGGTCAGGAACATGTGTTTTATCATTCTAAAAAGTTACACAGTGGGGCTTTAACATTGCAGCATCTCCATTTGCTGTAAAACTGATTTGTCAAATTTTCTTAACTCATTATACAGAAAAATCTAGACTATCATCATTTGGATCTATTGTGATGATGCTTAAATGATTCACACGAAACTATTAAAGTTAAGTTCCCTTTGACAAACATTTAAACTATCGAAACAATGGGAAAGAAATTCTGAGAAAAATGTTTTGTAACAATTGTTAAACTACGGAACTGGGTTTCTAAGTATTTGGGCATCCCCTTTCACTCATCTGCATCTCCGTGTTACGGTAGAACAATACAACACTTGTTAAAGTGGTTAAAGTTTAATGTTTAAAGGGCTTTGAATAAATAGACAGAAGGATCTATAAACTATTAGAGATGTTTGGTAGAGGGATAAACTAGAATACTACTAAAAATATGTTACAAAATATGCTTGAAATATCTGCAGCAATATGACTTGCTTTTAAAAGAGCCTGAAAAAGAGAGGGAATTATATAGAGAGGGGATGAGAGAGAGAACATGAAGAGGAAAAGAAAGAGGGCAGGGCAGAGAGAGAAAGAGGGAGAAAGAGATGGGGGGAGAGAGAGAGAGAGAGACAGAGACAGAGAGACAGAGAGAGACACAGATAGTTACTTCTGCTTCATCTACTTAAAGCAGACCTATTCTGCAAAATTGACTATTCAGAGCTTTTAATCATGTTATAGTTGTTTCCTTCTCGTTTACCCTCTCAAAGTTGTATTTTGTGATTTGGCCATGTCTGAGTCATCTTTATTCTCCTGTATTCAAGAGGCTATCAACTCCCGTTTTCACCGCCACCAGTACACGCCTACTGTGCTCACTGTACCCACATTTTGGTACAAATGAAAAAATAAAACCTGTTGCTCACTAGCGTGATCTGCAGTTATCCATCAGAGTGTGAATCTGGCGTTTACGGTTACGTCAGCTCCCACTGGGCACTGCAGTTTTCTACTGTGGTAGTCGGCATACTTGTTTCTTTTATTAAGTTGATTGTGATTTCAAATGTGCAATTATGACGTAATGATCCACTGGTATTATAGATTATAACTACATAGCAGACACAAGCACAATGTGTCTTTAAACTTAACTGACTTTCCCACAAATATACTCAATGAGTCTTAAGTGCTTTAACTGGAAGCCCCAAACAAGTTTAAATACAGTAGGAATTACCAAATACTTCAAATAGAAATATTATTTTAAAAAGATAAAATTATTTGATCCCAAATTACTTCCTAAATGGATTTTCCCCCCCACAGCTTGTCTGAACCAGGATTTATAACGATTTTGCAGAATTTAAGTAAAAAAGAGGGTTTCCTGCATTTTCTACATGACTATAGTAAGATTTGAGTAGTTTTTATATAATTTACATGCAGTGAAATTTGTAGTCGATGGATGTCCTTAATAGAATGAATATCTCTGTGCATCAGTAAGTGTTAAATATGTGTACTTACTCAGTACATCTTTCTCATGTTGCGGGATGAGGGTTTTCCAGTGCTCTCTCTCTGGTTTCTGGACATCAATGTTGATCAGACAGTAGCGAGGAGCGTCCAGGTTTGAGTGAAATGTGAAAACTGTCCCTTCGTTTGTGACATATGAAAACTGAGCCTCGAATGTGTCCACGAGCTTCACCCACGGAAGTAAACCTGTGGAGGATAAAACATATAGTCATACTGATACTGTAATACTGTAATATATATAATATACTGTATTACTGCGATAAAAATGGTGAAAACATTAAAAACAAGACAGACTTGAAAGGTGCAGTATGTAACCTTTCTGGTGAGAGTTGCAATTGCGTTGCACTGAGTGTTCCACAGTTTGACATTAAACTAGTGCAGGCATGCAGGTTACAGATATAATATGTATGTAATATGTAATTTGCCAAAAATACTGCCAAAAATGTGGTCATTTGACTGGTATACTATCGGTGACTTCACACTCCTTTAGTCCACTTCTTTATACAGTGTAGTTCCCGCTGGGCCCTAGTTTGGGCACCCGTGAATAGGCCAGCTATCTCACTCATTATTGTAAATTACAGTTATTTTATTGCTAAAAATACATGCATTCTTAATGTAAGCATACTTGCCTCTCGCCAGATCTGACCTCTAAGTTGACCCAATTATCATTTGCTTGTATAAGATGTTTAATGCCATACTGTGGAACATTTACATTTTGTGTTCTCATACATGTTATTCACCTGTCTGTCCGGATGAATTTGTTACTGCCATGCCTAGAATGTTACAGTGTATGACATTAACCTCTCCATGAAGACAAAAGGTTTCACTTCACTCTCTGACCTGTGATTCCATTGGGCAGCTGCTGAAGGTCACAGTACCAGAGGCGGTTCATGGGCTGACATCCTTCAGTGATGGACAAAACCGCATACCTGCCATCGTCTGAGATCTGGGAATGGACAAGGAGTAGAGGTGAGATATTGTCAAAAATGTATTTCACAATAATTCCTACAACAATATGCTAAAGTGTGCCAGTACAAGTCTTGGTTCCTCAACCAAGACTTGTACCGGCACATTTTAGCAAGTGTTGTAAAACATATGAATGGACCATAAAACTAACCACAAAATCCACTTCTTCAATCCATCACTTCATACCTTTGTTAGAGAGATTGCACAAAATGTTTTTGTTCAAGGTTTATTTATTCACAAAAATATTCTGTAACAATGTTACACAATAGTTTTCATTATTTTTTACTTTTCCTCCCTAGAACACCACCCTCAACTTATAAACATGAGAACATGAGCCAAACAGGTACAAGAAATGAATCGATAAATAATGATGAAACAAAATAAACCTAGAAAGGAAACTCACCTCCTCCAGTTATTTCCAAACCTGCTTCCACGGTTTGGAAATAAGACAAAAATGGATTCCAGATTATATACAATTTTTGAGCTTTTGAACTGAACCTTTGGTTGTATACCTGATTTTCTCCAACTGAATGTAGTATATGGCATGCCTGACCCAGAGCGGTTGTGGTTCCTTCCAGTTCAGTAAAATCCTCCTACGAGCTAACACTGTGCAGAAAGCCACCAGACTAGACTGCCCCTCAGTCAAATGTAAACTAGAATTCACCCCAAAAATTGCAACTAATGGGCAGGGAGCCAGTACTTTACCACATATCTAAGAGAGAACATCAAATACACATTTCCAGAAATTACTCAATTTTGAACTAGTCCAAAACATGTGCAATAAAGAGACAGGTTCTTGCTTACATCGATCACAAGTAGGGTCAAACCCGTTTATAATCTTACTTAGTTTAGTTTTAGACCAGTGGAGGCGATGTTCCACTTGGAATTGAATCACTATATCTCTGAATTATCCCAGGTCTCGTCTGAAATCTGTCTACTCAAATCCTCCTCCCATTTACACTTAAGTGGCTCCAGCGTAGTCAACAACTCATAGGCCACACTTGTGACCGTTTGGCATCTGGTTTCTTAAAGATATCATCCAAAAGGGACAGAGAAGGACAGGATGTGAAAGAGTCACTATTACGTCTGATGAAATTCCTAACAGTAAATGTTTTTGAAATCATCTTTAAAATTAATTACAGGCAATATACTCAATAGATATTAATTTGCATATCTCCAAAATAACAATTATGATATTATATTTTTTCTCTATATATCTTACACCTCTTACAGAGAGTTTAAACGCTAAAGATTGCTTTAAAATACTGTGCAGTCCTGACTTAACTTAATATTTTTGGACTTACAGTGACAGAGCTGTGCCATTTGGGGTGATCAGGAAACTCGGCCACCAGGACATCCTCAGACTGTTTGGTTCCGATCACATGATAGAACAATTTTTGGTTCATGTTTGAAGTTGTCTCTGTGCCTAAAAGCAAATGATCCAAGGTTAGTCAGACTAGCAGGGTATTGTCTGTAATCTGTGACCCATGAATAGATGCAAAATGTTTTTCCAAATGTCATAGCTACATATATAACATAACTCTGAAAAGTATGTAGAAATATCGGACCTACATCAAAATTGCACTACCCAAATACAGATAGATTTTAATAATGGCTATGAAAATATTCAGAGCAGAATGGTTAATTGTAAACCCTATTGAAAATGTAAATGACAACACTACATATTATATTATATTTGAAATATTCAAAGTAAAATGAACATAATATTATGTAGAAGTATTTATAACAAATGTAACATACTGGAAATGATGACAGTTTATTTACTTTAAGCTAATGTTAATTAATATTAATGAGTTAATTTAGTTTTGCAATGTAATTGTAATGCAATTGTAATGTATACTTTTGGTGTGTTCACCTGCCCAGGGACTGCAGATGGAAAGTAGCAGTAGCTAAATCAAGAACAAGTCATAATTTCTTTTGTAAGATTTATGAATATGTACATGGTCCCTGACAAAAAAGAATAATCTACACTAAACATTGACATATCCTGTATATATGCTGTGCAGTCCATTCCGCTCTGGCTCACCATCTGTTTTGCCCTCTTGTCGGGGGTAGCTGTTGTAGAAGATGCCCCTCCCATCGTGGGTCCAGGAGAGGCAGCTGAATTTGACCCTCTCCAAAACATCAGGCAGTTTCTCCAGGTCTCCGTCTGCCTTCATGAAGTGCACAGTGACCCAGTCTGACCCACTGCTGCTCAGGCCATAGGCAAACAGCTTACAGTCCTCAGACAGACGACCCACTGTAATGAGAGAAGAATTATTTGACCTTTTAGGTAAAAACATACAACAAATTATGTACATGATCACAATCATAGTCCCACTAACTGCTTGTTTCAACTTTGTGACATCACTGGACGGTAGGATTGTCAAAAGTAATGATACCCAAATAAAGATAATAACTGATACAAAAAATATTATTAAAAACACAAAATTACATAAATAGGAAAATAAATTGGACCTTATCTGAATAGTTTTGGAAAGGTCTGTGTCTAGATCAGAACTAGTGTTGAAAATAATTTATAGTCTAAAATATAGTCTAAGATTCTCTGCTTTGAAGATACCAGCTATTGTTTAAACCTCTTCTGCAGTTACTCACTCTTTAGCGCCACAGTTCCATCTTCAGACAGAGTGTTTGGGTCAAAGAACACAGAGGCCGGAGCGTCGAGAGAGTCCTGCACGTACAGCACGCTCTGGTTCTGGAGGCCTTTGTTATGGAAGTAAAAATACCTACAAAAGTACAGACACAGATACAATATAATCATTGTATGATTATGTAGGACACCATATCCCACTGATAACATGTCTGTGTTGCTTTACCTGTCTCCTCTCCTGAAGGGGGTGCTGTATTTGGGATAGTCATAGAGCTCTGTCAGTCGCTGTTGAAACTTCTCCCTGACTCTACACTTTTCTAGAAATGGCATCGTGACTTTGTTCTGCGCCTCCACAAATGCCTGGAAAAAGGAAAAAAGAGGGAAAAACACAATCTTTAGGGGGAAGTTGCGGCTCTATGGTAGAGCATTTGCCCATCATGCATGTTTGATTGTAGTACAGCGACAAGAAATTCTTATTTAGTTTTAGTCTTAGGCTTTTGACTAAAATGATTTTCAGATTTAGTCCAGATTTAGTCAATAATTATTTTAAGTTATAGTCGACAAAAATACTAATTACACTGACTAAATCCATAGTCATAGTTTTAGTTAGAACAAAAAAAAAATTAACTACAAAAAATTATGTTGCATTTTGTCCAGAGAGCATGTCTGTACATGTCCCATACATGTATGGACGTGCGCCTAGTTTTGGAGCTAATCAGTTCTTTAAGTGGCCAAAAATATTTACTTTTAGTCATAGTTTCAGTTGTTGAAAATTTAATGCTATTTAGTCACAGTTTTATTCATTATAATTACTTAATATTTAGTTCAGTCAGCAAAAATATGATTAAAACTATGACAAAATTAACACTGATGTGGTGTGTAATGCTCACCTTGGTCTCTTCACTTTCTGGGTCCTCCAGCCAAGCATAAGGATCACAGATCTCAGTGCCGTGGTAGTTATCCACCTAGGTAAAAATAAATAAAACAAAACAAGAGCATGTAATTTGTGCCAAAACATAAACCTATTAGTGTATTAATGTTCCAGTCTTTCGAACTTGTTTTGAAGATTCCAACATGCTCTGTCTTGTTGTCCAAATGCTGTACTGTACATAATCATAGTCAAAGCCTCTTATTGTAGTAACAGTTTCACACTACTTGCACTCACTGGTTCTCAATGGTAGCCAAAATCGGATACTAATCGATACTAAAATTAGTTTTGAAACTAAATACTCATTTGAGCAGGTATCAATACAAAAATGTCCTGTTCACAGGACAGAAATGAACCTTTCCTGAACAGCTTTAGAATGATCTTGAGCTATATCAGAACGAGTATAAGAGCACAGACCATGGATCACTATGGAACCTACCTGGACCATTAAGGGATTACACAGATATAAGACAAAAATGATCTAAATGTGTTTATTTATTACTCAAGTAACTACTGAACAGCATTGTATAACTAGAAATTCAACCACTATGAGACCTACTGAGCCAAATTATTACCCTAAATTGTCTTAATAGACCATTTTATATGTCCAACAAGGACATGTCGATCCGGCAAGTTTTTCACTATCAAATTGGTGCACCAACATAAAATAATGTAATACAGTTTAATGTTGAAAATCACATTCTATTGTCTAAAGAGAGTTTTTATTATCATTGTAGAATTGGTATTGAGTACTGACTGTATTCCGTAGTATCAAAATCAAGTTTGAAATTTTAGTATTGTGACAACACTATTGCACACTGTTTATTATTACACATCTTTGTAACTTAACTCCAGTACATTAAAATGGTCTTAAACAATTTTTAAAAAATTGTGATACATCTTTATTTTTGATTGCATATTTTCTATTCTCGTGTTGTGTTTGTTTTCTGCATTGCAACACTGGAATTTCTCCATTGAGGGACAAGTAAAAGTTCTGTTAACTTATCTAGAAAGTAATAAAGATTGTCCAAGCTCATATACTGCATTTCATAAGTTCATTCACATTTGACCATAACTAACCTGAGTTGTGACTATCAAACATGACACCTGACCTCATTAAGCACACACCGATCTAAAATTGTTGTACTTCCATAATATTTTATTAAATTTGAATGATTGTGGTATCATTCTGTTTTCATGGGTAGTACTCAGTTACATTTACTTGAGTAACTTTTTAAGTTACTCAATGATTTGAACATTTTGTTTGCACCGCTCCTTCAGATATTATTCAGTTTTTTAAAGTTTTGTACAAAATACAAGATTTTGTGGAATTTACATTCACTTCACATTACATTCACTTCAATCAGATGTTATGTCCTGACAGTTAAGTTAGAGTAGTAGTTTTCCTAAATACTTTTTTACTCTTTCTTCACTAATTTCTTGGACGAGTACTGTGTACTTGAACTTTGCTACTTGAATATTATTTTACCGGAGTAAAATGTTTGGCTACTCTACCCACCTCCGGTTTTCATTTGTTCAGTCATTCATGATATTGTAACAATATGGTTCATCTAGAGTTATTATTGAGGTATTTGACACGTATTTTTTAAATAGCCATGTTTTACCATTTGACCATAAAACAATATAATGAAAACACTGAAGTAAACCAGACTGAGAACAGTAGCAGTGTACGTTTAATGAGTAGTAGCTATAGGAGTACTAGTTGTCATAGCGTTTATTTACATCAGTACTTCGCAAACTCAAATTTATTTCCTATATTACTGAAAAAATCATCTTACCACAGTGAAATAGAACATTAGACAGCACCTTTTTACCAATCTGAGGCACGTATTTCACCTGTGCTGAGTCATAAACCTATTCATTTCAAGAAGCTAATTTCACTTCACAGCTAGCGACATGTTTAGCAAGAATTACAACTTAAAAACACTTTAGTTTTCGTTCCTGACTTAGCCATTCTTTTCATTCAACCCTCCATCTAAAATGACTCACTTTCCTTTCTGTCCTAGTATCGATTTTCGTGCACAGCCAGCTCAAAAAAAAGCGCATAGTAGAACTTTCTGTAAATGTGTTAGCAACAACCAACAACTTTGAAAACACGATCCAAACCTTGCTCTCGTCTCTCCTCGCAGCTGGATACTTAAACGACGTCATGTTATAAGTTGATAACGTGTTTTTTCACGCTTTTCTCTCGGTATTTTAAGAGTTCAATCGATGTTTTACGTGTTAAAAAGTCTAAGTTTACAGAAGAGAAAGTGAAAGTAAGAAGTTTGTACTCCGCGCCCCTGACGCTGCAGTACGTGCTGTTCAGGAAGAGCTGCGTCACGATGCGTCACTGTCACGTTAGGCACAGGTGATGATGGGACACATGGTCACGAGGAAGGTTAGTAAGTTTTTATTTTCATCTTTACGGTAAACTAGGGGATATTTTTTAGTTTATTTATAGTTTTGATGCTTGAATGCTGACTGGTAAAATCCAATTTTACACAGGATGCTGACTCTTAGCTGCCAGTCTAATTTGATTTTCAAAATAGTATTAGCCTGAAAACTGCTGCTAATTAGCCTACTACTTTATAGTCATTTTCCAATTAATGTAATTATGTTATTAATTTTTTTTTTCTATTGTCGTTTTGTATAGGCTTTGGGTCAGTGTGGACCTTGGAAAATTCACAATCAAATCACTGACATGGGTGTGTGAACATTTTACTTCCATGACTTTAAACCAAGTGTGATTTATGAGTGGAAACTTTGGTCATATGACCTACAATACTTGACATTTTCACGCCATAAATTGTATTTGATTGAATCACTGAGATATAAAATAAAATAAATAAAATAAAAATACATGCGCAATAAAGTCAGTGTTATCACTTAAAGTATCACTTAAATCTTGGGGAAACACTGGTGCTATTTTTAAAGATATAGTCAACATTTTTGTAGTTATAAACACAGAGTTTATCATTTCTATTACACAACTAGATGTTTAAAAATACCAGCAGACAACAATTAGATCAGTTTTGCTACAGATTGTTAAATGTGCACTGAGTAAGTTTTCTGGTGGGGGGGTGACCATGGAGATGTTTTTTGCCTGCAATGTTCCAGAGTATGGCATAAACGTTGTCTGCATTTATTCAATCACAAAACTTTTGCCTCCTCATATTTGACTTATAACTGAACATGGTGGCATTATTTGCTTGTTTTCATGGATGAAAACATTTAATGCCATACTGTGGAAGTTTTTGGCAGGCCCTCGACTAGAAAAGTTATACACTGCACCTTTAAATACCCCAAATTATCCACAATTCACCTTGCAGTTTGTTTAGAGTTGTATTTTCTGTTTTGATCTGAAAACAACATGTGGAGAGTCTGGTTTGCGGATTGTCGCACAGAAAAGTTTCAGACAAATAATCTGTGTAATCCTCAAATCTGTGAAAAAGTCTGTAGAAAAGGAGGGAAAGACACGAGACGGGGGCAGACATGGCTCATTTCAAACTAATTAAGTTAAGGTGATTAAGTGAGACTGGCTTTGATGATCTGTTAATCTGTCAGTTGGGCCTATGACCTGTTTGATTGTACTTACCTGTCTGTGGCATCAATGCAATGGGACCAGTCTTCAGTTAAGTCAATTGCACGCAGTTGTATTAACGCTTTAAAAAACTTTCTAGGATATACATAACAATTTACTTGTCTTAAAATTTTACATTTTTATTACATAGAATAAAAGAATTTCATGAGTCAAACATGAAATAACTAATCTTTTTAGAAATTATTCATATGGAGTCGATAAGTATTTTTGGGGAAAAAAAATAAAATTCTTTCTACCAGTTGCATGACCAAACCAGGACTGAATTAAAATTTAACCAGGACTAAAATAGGACTGTGTCAGGATTAAAAATAACTGAACCAGGACTAAAATAGGACTGCTTTAGTCCTTGACTAAAACAGTTCAAAAACAAGAGTGGACCAGGACTAGGCTTAATTAACTTACTAATTAACTAAACCAAAAATAATGCAGGACTACCAGCTACCATACAGGGCTAAAAATATTGACTTAAAGATGGTCATGATTCTTGTAATAGACCTTTTGTACTTGTGAATCATAGTTACACATTTTATAGAACAAAACAAAACTACAAAACAGCATTCAAAAAGCACAATCACAAAGCAGTTGCCGGTTCAGTCCCAGTTGTGACTCAGTGCGTTTCCCAGTATTACCTAATGACTGCCGTGCTAATTGGCCTGAGAGAGGAGGGAGGTGGAGCTCTAATCTGTGGGGATGAAAGTGGACCAGGGCAGGGGCAGATGGCTGTTATGGAGGCTGAGATGGGAGCCCCTCAGACGGGTTGAGCTCCTCCACTGTGCCCCTTAAAGCTCCGTGGCTCTGGATTACGCCACATTTGACCATGCAGCCGCGGCGTGCAGGACAGATGGGCGTCTAATTGGCTGCACTCAGAAACAGGTAGAAGAGACAGAGAGATTAGATTAGTCAGATTACAGCCCAGACTCGCCCACTGTGAACACGAGACCGAAAAACAAAAACAAATTCTCCTGAACATGAACCAAACTCAGTCAGTCTGTAGGCCTCAAATTACAGATGATAAACAGAATATTTTGAAATTTACAACTTTACTGAAAGCACTTAATTTGCCAAATGTATAACTTGTGTATCATCTTCGACTAATATAGACATTGGTTTAGTTATTAAATAATGCTTTCATAGGCCTGCAACTCAAACCCAGATTTCTTTGTTCCTGTCATACCACCAAACACTGAAGTGCCTCGTTCAAGGACATAATATAATATAATATATTATGTGTGTATATATATATATATATATATATATATATAACTATAATAATTATTTGTCATTATAGAGTGGCGAGCTGTCCTTCTTGGATGTATTGGAGACCTATATGGACACCCACAATCTTCTTGTTGCCAGCAGCACATGGATTAATTCATCAAACTTCAGGTTAGTGGGCAAACGTCTTAACCTACCATGACACCCAAAATGCCTTACCTTTACATTCATTATTAAATTGTGTATATAATATGTACTTTTTTGTACACATAAAAGTTCAGTTTAGAGCACCATACTAGTATATCACCAATGCCAGGGAATTAACCATTAATCAGTGAAGATAAGCGCTTGTAAAATGACTCATTCATGGGTCATTATGTAACTTTTCTGGTGTAGGCTCTGCTAACTGCTTTTGTCCCTGAATATGTTATTGCTCCAAAATTTCACATTTAAATGTGATTGGAGTCACCTCTTCATAGATCTGACCTGTAACTTGGCCTGATCACGCCACGTGCTTATCTATGGAGACATATGTTAAAAATATAAAACCATACTAGGTAACATTCTTTTTCAAAACAATATTAGCTCTCACTGTGCAGAGTTTATTTAGTTTGTCACAAACTAAACGATGAGGTTCAATATTTGGTGATCTCTTATAAACAATATAAACAATATAAATAAATGTCTCTTGCCCCTCCTTCAGAATCTGAAATCTCTACCAATTAAAATTGTAATTGTAAGTGTATTTGAGTCAATGTCACCAGTAGTTTTACCATGACAGCAGCCCCCTCCCCTTTCTCTTCAGACCTTAAACCCATAAACTGTACATGCTGAATGCCTGTCCACAAACATATGAAGTATTATTGACCCCCTCTGCCTTTTGTGACAGATGGCTCCTGCAGCTCTAACCCATAATCCCTCATTGTTCTGAATTCTTTTATTATTTTGCTGCTCGTCATTTCAAAATCTTCCCCAAATCGGCCTCTAACCTCTGCGTGATCCTGGGCTTAGCTGTGGCCTGAGCTAATAAAAGTGGATCAGCTGCACGGCCGTATTGTTTTTGAACCATAATCTCCTCCTGCTATTGTTTTATATGTGCACACAAGACACAATTTAAACTGGGATTTAAAGAAGAAAATTTACTTGAAAGAACTTTTAATCATGTTGTAATTGTTTCTCCTTCTCATTTACCCTCTGAAATGTTCTCATACATGTTTGTGTAATCTTTATTCTCCTGTATTCAAGATGTCATTGCTCTGATCTACTCGGTTTTCACCACCACTGCTTTGTACTTACGTTGTTCTCTAATTTTATTTTACTAATTAGTGATACACATAAGATTCGGGGTCGTGTAGCCACTCATAGCGCCACATTGTGAGTTTTGCTGTTTTGCTGCTAATGTACAACAGGAGCGTGTATGTTTTTTCTTTTCTTTTTTTTTTTTTTTTTAGGGGTTTGTTCCTGATGGATTCTGGTTTGAGTCCAGTTTGTAGACTCTCCCTTAATTATGTTTTAGTCCTGGTTTAATCTAGTCTGGGTGTAGTCCTGGCTTGCGGAAGTGTCAAATCACACTTTGGGGACAAGATTCAGGGCTTCAGGCCAACTTAAATTTTCTTGTACACGAGTAAGTATTTTAAACCCAATGAATTCTGAACATAAAACACAAAGATGAGAAGAACAATCTAGAGGAGTTTAATGACATTTAATGATATTCTAAAGTAACTAGAATGTCCTTAAAAGTGCTTTAAAAGTGGCAAGCCGGGCCTTTCTGTGTGGAGTTTTCATCATCTCTGTGTCTGTTTGGGTTTCCTCTGGCCTCTCGGGTTTCCCCATCAACCCAAAACATGCATCACAGGCCAAATCCTCCAGTTAAGGTAGTCCTGACCAAGACTAGCAATGAGATCTGGAGATGAGTCCCACTGCTCTTGTACAAATTTGTATATGGTGTCAATAAAGAGTACCCCAACCCTATAGTTACAGATTGACCAAACCCATGTATTTTAGCTTTTAAGAGAAGGCTTTAGTCAAATGAAACAGAAAACGCAGACCAAAGTTCTTGTAGAGGTGCAATGCAAGGAACAGCAATTTAAAAGTGAAAAAATGCATAGCACACTCAGATGGCTGATGTCCAAAAGCATTTTTTAATTTTCAAATAGCATTTCGGCAAAAAGTCTTTGTGAGATAATTTTTTTTGCTTTGGATCACAGTATAGAAAATGGTTGCCAGTCCAGGTGCTCATATCCCCCACCAATGAATCGGAGGTCTCAGAGAAGGCTTCAGTACCACAGAAAGGACATGTTGATTTCAAATTCACTTTAATTGATTTTCTTAACGAAGACCCTCGCTTCATGACTCTATCTGAAACCCCCCACCACTACTATTACTCTCGACTGTGCTTGGATTCACTGGCTGTTAACTTGTACCCTCCAATTCACCGTTTCTAATCTCAATCTCAAACAAAGCACATTTTCCCGTTGACAAGTTGTGCCTCTTTTTAATTAAACTCTCGGGTCCCAAACTTCATTAGAAATAATCGATAATGTCCACGGGTCTGTTAGCATGCGGCGTGAGGCTAGTATCGATCGGCGCGCGTGTTTTTGTCCCTTAAGCATGCATGACGCGGCCCGCACAATAAAAGACCAGTGAGATTAAGACAATTAAGAGGAAGGGGGTAGGGGGCTGCGGTGACCAGAAGTCCAGGAGAAGGACAGGATTAGACGGACGAGATTTAGGTCAAAGAGGTGCTGCAGCAGTTAAAGGAGGAAGAGGAGAGAGAGGGCGGGGGGAGCGGAGGAGTGGAGAGGGCGAAAGGGGAGGGAGAGAGGGATGACGGAGACAGGAGGGAGGAGAGAGGAGAGAGAGGGAGAAAAACTGAGGAGAGAGAGGAGACTTGGGTGGGTTGGGGAAACCTACTTAGACATTTGCCTTGTTGATTGATTAATGTTAGATAGCATGCTCTGGAAGAACAGTCTGCTGTAATTGGTCTTTTGAAATGACAATGTCCAGGAACAAGGTTATAATTTGTAACTTTAAATGGGTTATGGTCAGGGTTTTGAAAATGTTTGGGTTAGCAGCAGTTAAAAAGTCCCCTACTAGTCCCCTACTTCACATCTGTCCTTCCAAACTTGACTATCTAGCACTAACTTTGCTGATTTTTGCAAGAAACAAAAGTTGGAACCATTGCAACACAAAGTTAAAGAGCAACAGGAGATAGAAATATGCAATCCAAAATCAATACAGTTAACGTAAAGGGGAGCTATTATGCAAAACTGAATTGTGATTTCCTTTCTCATTTAGTGATTCATGGATGTTTGACTAATTTTTATGTTCCTATTCAAGACGTCATTGCTCCGACCTAACCCTGTTTTCACCTCCATCATCATCAGTACACACCCATTGTGACATACTTACTTCGTTCTCCAATTTTATTTAATTTTATCAGTTATATATAGGATTCAGCAGCGTCACATAGCAATTTTGGTAAAAAGTAAAATAAAATCCACTGTTCGCTGTATCCATACAAGGGGCTAGCACTTTGTTCTGATGACTTTTATGGCAACATCAGCTCCCACTGGACACCACATCTGTCTAACCCGGAAGTCATCGGACTATGTCATAGATTATAACCACTGTATATAGCAGACACAAGCACAATATGTCTTCTTTAAATCTAACTGACCAATCTAGAATAATAGAAATACTTTGAATAGGGTTAAGATACTAAAAGGTGTGAAGATAATACAATAAAATACAAAACTGTGCAAGTAGAGTCAAAATATAGTAATAATATAATATGTTTTATTGCTAAATTTAAAATCAAATTCAGTTCTAGTCAATACTATCTTTCCCTTTTACCTGTGGGCTCTTTACCTGACCTGAGCAAAAAGGAGGTCAGAGGTCGAAGCGTGAGTTGAAGTGTGCCTTTGGTCTAATCCTGGTCTGGTTTTCAGTGGATTGACCCAGTGACAAGGATCTTCTGTTGGACCTGGTTTGGACCTAGTTTGGACCTGGTTTGGACCTGCAACAAGGCGTGTCCGACTGGGATTTCCCTGATCCTGGTCTAGACTAATGATTCAGCACCGCCTCCTCATTGTCGTGCTGTTGCGTCACGTTTTCCACTGGGAGTACTAATCAAGTCCACGTAATAGAGAGTAGGTTTTAGAACGATGAGAAATTAGGACTGTTTCATAGAGATTGTTTTGATGCAGCTCAGGATCATTCTAAAGTTATTCAGGAAAGGTTCATTTCTGTTCTGTCAATGGGATTTTTTATTTTTTTGTATAAATACCTGCTCAAATGAGTATCTACTTTTCAACAATACTTTTGACAACACTAGTTTGACTATAAGACTCTCATCATAATAATGTACAATAATGTACTTTTCCCCACTTTTTCCATAGATAGATGAGTTACTGTTATACTGTTTCTTGGGAAGTTAAGATTTCCATTTAAAATTACTGTCACTGCAGGTTCTCCCTGTGAGTAATAATTAGTCATAGGATGAATGTGTTCTATAGAACACCTTTAGGTACAGTGCCCTTTAGGAAAGGCTTGACAGGGAGGTTTTATTGTTGGATTTTATTGTAAATAAAAGCAGAAAACTCCTTTTGTAAACCTAGAGTGCACTATAGAGCTCCTCATTGGGCCTGAATGTAACCTATACTACAATTAAACTATGACATAGCAGTCAAATTTTAGTATTATTTATTATTGTGAGAAACATTACACCATGATTTATTATTATTATTATTATTATTCATGATTATTGACCCCAGGATCAAACTGTGATATCCAAAATGTTCTTTCATTTCTGTAATGCAGCAGTATGTGACCTGTTTATGAAATCAAACTTTCTGAAGGATAAAGTACATTTGAAATTCCATTAACACACAAAAAAAAACTTGTATGAATTGTAACTATTTTTTATAGAATAGAAATACCTTAACTTTGCAAAAAAATAAAAAATAAAAAATTGTGATCACTCCTTATGCTCTTCTCACCACATCATGCTTATTATCACGGGCAGCTCCAGCAGCTTTCAATGAATGTAATCCCTCCATTCTTCTTTTAAACACACAAATGATGTGGGTTTGAAAAAATGTCATAGCGTAAATAAGATGGCTTTGTAACCTAAAAGACAAAGCTAGCATATGATATGGTGAGCATCATGTCAAAATATTCAAAGGGGAACAATAATGGGGGCAACCTAATGAATATTGTTAAAATGCAGATTAGTGTCGTAATATACTGAGCTTTAGGTTGTAATAATAAGTATAAATGATCAGGTTCAATATTTGTTAATTTACCTTTTGAACATTTCATGGCAAAGCACTACATAGCTAATTGATGGGAATCCATACTGGGAGTATGATGTCACATTCTAGATGGAAGAAGGTTGTGTTGGCTAAAGAAAATCTAAACCAAGAAAACCACTATGAACCGGAACAAAACCACAACATTCTATTGAATGGGTGGATTCAAAGTCAATAGTAATGATTCATAAAATTCTATAGAATTCCTTATCAACTTTGCCTGTAACATGCTGTTATGGAGAACTGAATTGCAAAACGTTGAAATCCCACATTCCCAGTTTTTATAAGACGAGGATAGTAAGGTCTTTAAAGAGGTAGAAGGTGGTATATATCTGATCATTTTGGTTATTCAGAACACAACTTTAAACTCATCTCCTCTTCTAACCCTAACCCCCCCCCCCCCCCCCCCCATCTTCTCTCCCCCCCTTTCCTCTCTCCTCTTCACTCTCTCCCCTTCTGTCTCTCTCCCCTTCTCCTCACGTCCTCTTCTCTCTCTCCCCACCTCCCCTCTCTCTTTCTCCCTCTCTCCTCTCTCTCCCTCTCCTCTTTCACCCACCCTCTCCTCTTTCACCCGCCCTCATGGTCTCCTCTTCCTAATTAGCAGACATTTTTATTGATCGCCTTAAATCCTCTTGGTCTGGCAGACAGATCTTTTGGATAAACTTCCCTGCCCGCTGGTCGGATCGTGCTCGGGTGAAGAGGGAAGAGATGAGGGGGGTGAGGAGGGGTGAGGGGGGGTCAGTCCCACCTGTTGACCACCTCACATGACCAAACAGTACCCCCTACAGTGGTGGCAGAATTAAGCTCTATTGCCAACTAAAATATTTAAAACAATGTAAAAGTACTAGAAAAACTACTACAATTATTTTGACAGAGGACTAGTCAGTAGTTATTTTGGTTAGTTTGTATGTTTGTTTATTTATTTAGTTAGTTATATGCATGTAATTGCAGTGTTAATATGACAGAATTAACGATTAGATCAGAATAAAGATGCCAGTTTCAATATGTTGTCCCTAAAAATAACAAAGAAGAAAGTAGCAGTAGTAGTAGTAGTTGTTGTTGTAATTGTTGTAGTTACTGTAGTTGTAGTTGTTGTAGTTACTGTAGTTGTTGTAGTTGCTGTAGTTGTAGTTGTTGCAGTTGTAGTTGTAATTGTAGTTGTTGGAATTCCAGTTGTAGTAGTTGTTGTAGTTGTAGTAATTCTAGTTGTAGTTGTTGTAGTTGCTGTAGCTGCTGTAGTTGTTGTAGTTGGTGTAGCTGCTGTAGTTTTAGTTGCTGTAGTTGTTGTAGTAGTTGTAGTTGTTGTAGTTGCTGTAGTAGTTGTAGTTGTTGAAGTTACTGTAGTTGTTATAGTTGTTGTTGTTGCTGTAGTTGTCGTAGTTGATGTAGTTTTAGTTGCTGTAGTTGTAGTAGTTGTAGTTGTTGTAGTTGCTGTAGCTGCTGTAGTTTTAGTTGCTGTAGTTGTTGTAGTTGATGTAGTTTTAGTTGCTGTAGTTGTTGTAGCTGCTGTAGTTGTTGTAGTTGCTGTAGCTGCTGTAGTTTTAGTTGCTGTAGTTGTTGTAGTTGCTGTAGTTGTTGTAGTTGCTGTAGTAGCTGTAGTTGTTGTAGTTGCTGTAGTTGTTGTAGTTGTTGTAGTTGCTGTAGTAGTTGTAGTTGTTGAAGTTGCTGTAGTAGTAGTTGTTGAAGTTGCTGTAGTCGCTGTAGTTGCTGTAGTTGTTGTAGTTGCTGTAGTTGCTGTAGTGGCTGTAGTTGCTGTAGTTTGTTGTAGTTGCTGTAGCTCCTGTAGTTGTTGTAGTTTTAGTTGTTGTAGTTGCTGTAGCTGCTGTAGTTGTTGTAGTTGCTGTAGTTGCTGTAGTTGTTGTAGTTGCTGTAGTTGCTGTAGTTGTTGTAGTTGCTGTAGTGGCTGTAGTTGCTGTAGTTGCTGTAGTTGTTGTAGTTGCTGTAGTGGCTGTAGTTGCTGTAGTTGCTGTAGTTGTTGTAGTTGCTGTAGCTCCTGTAGTTGTTGTAGTTTTAGTTGTTGTAGTTGCTGTAGCTGCTGTAGTTGTTGTAGTTGTTGTAGTTGTTGTAGTTGCTGTAGTTGCTGTAGTTGCTGTAGTTGTTGTAGTTGCTGTAGTTGCTGTAGTTGCTGTAGTTGCTGTAGTTGTTGTAGTTGCTGTAGTTGCTGTAGTTGCTGTAGTTGTTGTAGTTGCTGTAGTTGCTGTAGTGGCTGTAGTTGCTGTAGTTGCTGTAGCTGCTGTAGTTGTTGTAGTTGCTGTAGCTCCTGTAGTTGTTGTAGTTGCTGTAGCTCCTGTAGTTCTTGTAGTTGCTGTAGCTGCTGTAGTTTTAGTTGTTGTAGTTGCTGTAGCTGCTGTAGTTGTTGTAGTTGTTGTAGTTGCTGTAGTTGTTGTAGTGGCTGTAGTTGCTGTAGTTGTTGTAGTGGCTGTAGTTGCTGTAGTTCCTGTAGTTGCTGTAGTAGTTGTAGTTGATGTAGTTGCTGTAGTTGCTGTAATTACTGTAGTTGTTGTAGTTGTTGTAATGGCTGTAGTGCTGTAGTTGTTGTTGTTGCTGTAGCTCCTGTAGTTGTTGTAGTTGCTGTAGCTGCTGTAGTTTTAGTTGTTGTAGTTGCTGTAGCTGCTGTAGTTGTTGTAGTTGTTGTAGCTGCTGTAGTTGTTGTAGTTGGTGTAGCTGCTATAGATGCTGTAGTTGTTGTAGTTGTTGTAGCTGCTGTAGTTGCTGTAGTTGTTGTAGTTCTAGTTGAGGTTGTAGTAGTACAACTACTACAACCTCAACTAGTGGCTGTAGTTGCTGTAGTTTCTGTAGTTGTTGTAGTTGCTGTAGCTCCTGTAGTTGTTGTAGTTGCTGTAGCTCCTGTAGTTGTTGTAGTTGCTGTAGCTCCTGTAGTTTTTGTAGTTGCTGTAGTTGTTGTAGTGGCTGTAGTTGTTGTTGTTGCTGTAGTTGCTGTAGTTTTAGTTGTTGTAGTTGCTGTAGCTGCTGTAGTTGTTGTAGTTGTAGTTGCTGTAGCTCCTGTAGTTGTTGTAGTTGCTGTAGCTCCTGTAGTTGTTGTAGTTGCTGTAGCTGCTGTAGTTGTTGTAGTTGTAGTTGCTGTAGTGGCTGTAGTTGCTGTAGTGGCTGTAGTTGCTGTAGTTGTTGTAGTTGCTGTAGTTGTTGTAGTGGCTGTAGTTGCTGTAGTTGTTGTAGTGGCTGTAGTTGCTGTAGTTCCTGTAGTTGCTGTAGTTGTTGTAGTAGTTGTAGTTGTTGTAGTTGCTGTAGTTGCTGTAGTAGTTGTAGTTGTTGTAGTTGCTGTAGTTGTTGTAGTTGTTGTAGTTGCTGTAGTAGTTGTAGTTGTTGTAGTTGCTGTAATAGTAGTTGTTGAAGTTGCTGTAGTTGCTATAGTTGTTGTAGTTGCTGTAGTTGTTGTAGTTGCTGTAGTTGTTGTAGTGGCTGTAGTTGTTGTTGTTGCTGTAGTTGCTGTAGTTTTAGTTGTTGTAGTTGCTGTAGCTGCTGTAGTTGTTGTAGTTGTAGTTGCTGTAGTTGCTGTAGCTCCTGTAGTTGTTGTAGTTGCTGTAGCTCCTGTAGTTGTTGTAGTTGCTGTAGCTCCTGTAGTTGTTGTAGTTGCTGTAGCTGCTGTAGTTTTAGTTGTTGTAGTTGCTGTAGCTGCTGTAGTTGTTGTAGTTGTAGTGGCTGTAGTTGTTGTAGTGGCTGTAGTTGCTGTAGTTGTTGTAGTTGCTGTAGTTGTTGTAGTTGGCTGTAGTTGCTGTAGTTGTTGTAGTGGCTGTAGTTGCTGTAGTTCCTGTAGTTGCTGTAGTAGTTGTAGTTGATGTAGTTGCTGTAGTTACTGTAGTTGTTGTAGTTGCT